GCAGGATGGCCTGAGAATGGCCCTCCTGGGAGTTGTGTTCCTCTCTGACTCCAGGGTTCTCGAGTGGAGGGTACTGCTACTTGTTCCCTGGCTTTCTCCACAGCACCTCCAGGTAGGGTGAGGGCTGGGGACACATCTATAACCACTGGCCGGTCAGGGTGACTCTCGGGACAAGGCCAAGCTCCCAGAGCTGGGTTACTCCATGTCTGCCTGGGCTGTGGGCGGGCCTCACCCACCTGACCGTGTGTCCGTTTCATGGGCACCCCCGCAGCTGCGCTCCAGCAACCCTGACGCCGCCGTCCCAGGGCAGGCCTCCGTTGCTGAGAGCCCGCAGAGGGTCCCTGGGGCCCGGCCTGCGTTGCTGAGACTCCCTGTGGCTGTGGAGCCCCCCGGAGGGAAGCCGTGGTCATGGCTGGAGTTTCTCGGGTTCCCATAGAAGCTGGGAGAGGGAGGAGGAGCGCTGGCCTTGTCCGGGGAGATTTACAAACAAGACAGCAGCCTGTAAAGATACTGGCGCAATTAAAACTGTCTCCTGTGATCCAGAAGCCTCACAAACCCTTTCCCACAAGATTCGCGCCATGGCCAGGAGAGTCCCCACCATCCCCCCTCTTCCCGTGGACCTGGGCCTTCCTTCAGCCACCTGGTTACTTGGTTCTTCCAGAAAGGCCCGGTGCTGGCCTCACGCAAGATGCTCCGTGAGTCTGCTTTGAAGGAAAGGTCAGGGAGAGGAGCCTGCGGGGTGGGGGGCGACCAGCACAGTGAGCTCACCGTCCTGAGCGAGCTCCTGTCCCCCAGGGAGCACGACGCTGCTATGGCAGCCCTGAGGCTCCGCAATTCCCTCAGTGCAGAGGGTTAGTCTCTGGTCCAACTCACAGCAGAGGCCGTGTCATCACCATGAAAAGATAATGACACCCCTGGGAAGGCCTCGGACCTGTTGGCAGGGAAGGGGCACTGGAACCTCCATAAAGGGCCAGGTGTGTCGCAGCCCACGGCCCCCAGCAGTTTCCGAGCCCCCGCCCTCCTCCCTCACCTGCCCAGCCCTTGAGGTCCTCAGGGTCATCAGAGACCCCCGGTCGCATCCGGTGTAGACTCTGCCGGCCCAGATGCTTGTCCAGTGAGTTACTACCCCCAGGCTCGCATTCATGCAGCCTTTCCCCCAAGCTGAAGACGATCGTTCACAGCAGCAAAGTCGTCACGAGCGTATGTGAGGAAAGGAGGGTAAAGGGACTGACTTGTCTGTTTTGGAAAAAGAAACCTGAGAAGTAAACGGATGTAGGAAAAAATGGTTTCTGCCCAATCACTGAGGGTGCCGGCCCTAAAACCCTGGAGCCTTAATCCCAGAGGTTCCTATTTACCCGGAATAAGGAGAAATCTTTGATATGACATATGAAGGAGCCCCCAGCCAACCTCCCTGTCACCCCGCAGCCAGATAAAGAAAATGTCCCCTTTACCCTGTAAGATGTGCCACCTCCCCCAGCAACGAAGAAGAGCCCCCCGGGTCAGCCCAGGTCCCTAGTGAGGACACACAGGAGGACCAGAGACAACGCAAACGAAACCAGAGCAGCTAAAACCTGCTGAGATGAGGACCCCGCGGGAGAGGGGCCTGGGAGCAGAGCCCCGCGGCTGGCCTCAGAGTGGACGGGGGTCTCAGGGGGAGACTGGGGAGCAGAGCAAGGGGAATTTTAGATGTGTGGTCTCCGGTTGGGGACTGGATCTTCTCAATTATTTTTCAAACAATGCAAGTAATCATTGGAATTCCTTCTTAATTCTATTGCCAATGAGGGTGTTTTTGAGAGAGACCATGCCTAGGGACAGTGGGTTTCGTGTGGAGTAGAGCGTGTCAGCCAGGATTTAGAGCTTGATTCATGTTATCTACCCTTGGGTTACAATCATCCTTCCAGGTCTTAGTCAAGGGGACCCCCACAATTGTTCTTCTCATTCCCCAAAGACAAAGTCAGAGGATATTGCAGAAATAACACTGAACATGCAATTACAATTGTGGGAACGTTGTAAAGATTAGAAATTCACGTTTAAAGCAGCCAACTTTACTTACACAGCATTTTGTCAGTTTACTAAATTAAATAACCTTGTGGTGTTGCAAACTTATTTCTCAACAAACAGGCAGCTTGAACACATGCATATGATTTCACTCCCTGACAAGACATCAAAATGATGGCAAATGTTTCTTTAAATGGTGTAAAAACAAAAGAGGAAACAAGAAGAAATGTTTGGAAGCTCCACAAAACAGCCCACACACAGTGACCCCAGCCAGCACTGGGAGATGGGAACCAACTGGTTTACCCCAGGGAATCCTCCAAGAACTGGGCCCTGGTGGCTCCTGATCCCTCTTGAAGTAGAGATGTGGCACATATTAGGACCCCTGGGATCTGTTCATGAAGTCCTTAGACCCTAGACTCCCTCCCCACTGGAAGAATTAGGGTCCAGGGAGCAGCGACTGCTATGGTCTGAATGTTTGTGTGCCCCTAAAATTCACATGTTGAAGCCTCCCCCCCACCCCCCATGTACTAGTATCTAGAGATGAAGCCTTCGGGAGGTGATCAGGCCATGAAGGTGTGGCGCCGTGATGGGATTAGTGCCCTTGTGACACACCCGGGCTCTATCCATGTGAGGACACATTAAAAAGGTGGCCATCTGCAAGCAGGAAAGAGCTCTCACCAGGAGCGACCATGCCAGCACCTTGATCTCAGACTTCAGCCTCCAGAGCTGAGAAATGAAAGTCTATAGAGTTTTGTGATGCAGCCCGAGCTGACCACACAGCCACACTGCGCGTCTCACGCTCCCCAGCTGCGCACAGGGTCATGGCCATGGCGCTGCTCCCGGTCCAGGACCACAGGAGAACTGCAAGGCTGTAGGGTGAAGATGGGAATCAATGAGTCCTTGGGTGACTTTAGCACTAAACACCAATAGCGGCTTTCCCTCTGGAAGACAGGTCTTGTCCCCTCATTTCCCACAATGTTTTGCTATTGTAATAAAGGGCAAAGGCGCTTGTAGACAGCAACCAGTTATGTAGCCCCCTGAAAGAAAGCTGGATACACTGTGCCTGAAACTAAGAAAAATTATCTGTTAGGGATGTTATTAAAGGTAATGTGTTCTGGTAACAATAATGTAAGTGACACAGCACCCTCCCAGCCTGGGCCCTGCTCTGGGGAGGAGGTCCATGCCAGCTGGGTTGGTGTGGCTGTGGGGTGGCCTCTGCCCAGGACCTTCCCTCCCTCCAGGTGCCTGAACAGCCAGCACACACACAGCCCTCCAGCCACCGGGCTCCAGCCCACAGAGTCAGCACCGGTCCTGGGCTCCCATGGGGCAGCTATGAGCATGCTTACCAGGAAGGCTGCATATCCAGTCTTTAAGAAGCCTGTGGCTGTGCACACACATACACCCACCCACACACACACAGTTTGTGGATTTCCCACCTGCATGAGACGCCACCATCCAAGAATGTGTGGTTAAAAACACCATAATTAGCCCTGGCCGGTGTGTCTCAGTGGTTAGTGCACTGAAGAGTCGTGGGTTTGATTCCCAGTCAAGGGCATGTACCAGGGTTGTAGGTTCGATCCCAGCCCCTGGTCAGGCACATGCAGAGGCAACTGATCCATGTATCTCTCTCACATCTCTCTCTACCCCCCCTTCCCTCCTTCTCTTCCACTCTTTGTCTAAAAATTTAAAAAAATCAGGATTAACAACAACAAAAAAACCCCATAATTAGATCTTAAATGTTCTTACCAAAAAATAGACCTGGTAACCACGTGCCAGGATGGTGTTAGCTGAGCGGTGGTGGTCATAATTTTTTCATATATAAATGTATCAAATCAACACACTGTACCTTCAACTTACCAAATGTTAATTATATCTCAATAAAGCTGGAAAAAATACAACAAATATTGCCATGTATTGTTTTAGGAAGAGAATTGCATTCCTACATGCTTTATTTCTGGGGCAAATAATGACCAGATTAACTTCATCAACTACGTCTTTAGTCAATCCGTGGACCCCGATGAGGGTGGGTCATTGTGTAGAGAACTTGACTGATAGAAGTCAGGGGAGGGAAGTCAAAAGGACGGCCATGGTCCCCAGCTCTGTCTGATTAAGCCAACAACATGGTCTTACCCTTGAGGTCTCATGGCCTTACCCTTGAGGACTCAGTTCTCACCTCCCGGTTTACCAAAGCAACCCAATGCCTTCTTCACTCTGCCCGGCACTGCTCCACACAGGGCCCAATAGGGGAACTCAGGGATTCCTAGGTCCTCGAAGGGAAAGGTTTGCTCCAGTTCCCCCCTGAGGGACTACAGATGGGGCCTGGGCTGGAGGTAGGTGTCGGTACTTCATGATCCCGATCATCCAGATCACAATGCAGTCGGAAAGGAGTGAAGGGACTGGCCATTCGGGCAAGCTGCCCAGTGAGGGGGGCGACCAGAACTGGAAACGGGACCCTGGTGGCTCCCCTCTTGCTATTTTCCTTTTTTTAAGAAACAGAGTTTATATTAACTTTATTATTTTTTATTGATTGATTTGAGAGAGGAAGGGGGAGGGGAGAGAGGAAGGGAGAGAAACATTGATTTGCTGCTCCCCTTACGCATCATTGGTTGATTCTTGTAGGTGCCCTGACGGGGGACTGAACCAGAAACCTTGGCATATGGGGAGACGCTCTAACCAACTGAGCTGTGCAGCCAGGGCCCCTCTTGCCATTTCAAATGCTGTGTGTGGGCTTTTGTTCAGCGGATCCATCAGCATCTTTTAGGAGATGTTGAGGCTTGGTGTTGAAGATGGGACTGTACAGCCTTGATATTTTCACTTCTTCCTAGGATGTTACCATGCTATTAAAACTAAATGTTGAGAAACAGAAACAAAGAAAAGAAAAAATCCCAAAAGACTCATAATTAACACCCCCCGCCCTTTGGTAAACACAGCGTTTGATTCTCGAGGGCTTCCCTCTCCTCAAGGGCATGTGGTTTGCCAGGAGAAAACAGGAAATCAGAGGCTCTGGAGGAAACAGGTTTATTAAAGCATATGGATTCTGCAAACTTTAGTAATAAATGCACACGTGAAAGTATGTCCTTACAATAAGTAGATCTCTAGAAAATATATCAATTAATACATTACGTGAAGAGCCTGTGTCAGTACATGTTTTGCATAGATTTCCAATAGCTCGGTGCAAACACAGATAAGTGCAAGTGGAGAAAGCCACGCTAAGAATAAAAGCAGCTATAGGCAGGCTCGGGAGCAGGCGGAGGGCACGCTGAGCCGTTTCCCTGGCAGCTGGCGCTGCTCTGACACACACTGAGCCACCTGCCCCTTCTCCCAAGTTCTTGCCGCAGCAGCTGGTGTGTCCCACTCCTGTCCTGATCCCTGGAGACCCCCTGCTTCACCCGGAGAAGTTCTGAAAGACTTCAGCGGCCTCCACCCAGTTTTGGAAGCAGGCCAGCCCCTGCTCCCGGATCTGCTTGCGCCCTTTGTAGGTGATGACCTCCCCACTGGGTTTCAGGATCACAAGCTTGGGGGTGGCTGTGATGTGGTACCTGGTCCTCAGCTCACTGTGGAGAGAAAAGGGCAGGCCACGGGGTCAGCACAGGGCGGGAAAGCTGCTGCCACACCCTAAAGGGACCTCTGCGCCCACCAGCCAGCCCTACAGAGCCTCAGAAGCAAGCCCGTGGTGCCCTCCTCCCGTGCTCCAGGTCCCCTCTGAGCCTTTCCTTCTCGCGGCCACCGGGTTCCAGCCAGTGCTGCCCCAGGGAAGCATCAGCAGTGGTGGGATGGCTCTGTGCCTGTGCTGCCCAAGACCATGGCCACAGACACAGGGGACAAGTGAGCCCTCAAAACGTAGCTGCTGTGACTGAGAAATGGAACCTTTCATTTCAGTTCATTTTAATTGAAATTTAAGAAGCTACATGTGGCTCGTCGCTATTGTATTGCACAGTGCAATTCTAAAGCCACAAATACGCCAGCAAGTTCACAGTCCTCCCTGCATCTCAAGAGGCTGAAAAGTACCAGGTATATAGAACGGTAAGAGCTAAACTTCCCTGAGCTCTAAATACAGGTGAAGACTTGTGCCACTTTCTGCCCTACAAATCCAAGGACATGGTGACTGACATTATGGATGAAACGTTTCTTGGCTACTTTACCATCAAGTGTAGCCCATAAGAGGCCTTTTCACAAAATGACTTGAATTTATTTAGGGAAAGGACAATCCTCCTTCTTAGTTTTACAAATCTCCCCAGACGCTTCACAGGATTACTGCCCTCTGGACAGGACGGCTGACGGGATTCCCCTCCTGCGTCCACGGCCAGCATGCAAGGGCCTGATGTCAACAATAGTCTGATTTCCCTTCTCTGTCACCCTCAGGACTGAAGCTGAGTGGAAGGAAAAATCACTTGAGACCCTCCTGTTACCACATCTTCCCCCGGCATCTCCATTAAGGTCTCCCGCTGGTTTCCAGCGAACACATCACAGATAAATCTCACCTCGAGCAGGAAAACACACACAGCACCTACACCCAACAGAGGGAAAACAGACCTCATTTCAGCATCTACCAAACAGTGACAAACCGGCCGTGTTCTCGGTCACTGAGGGGGTATTACTAAATTTCAAATAATCAGTAGTACACAGACCACTTCATCAGACCATAATATAATGGAATTGAAAACCAATAAACAGTAATTTTTTGGAATGAGCTTAAAAACTAAGTAACCAACGCAGGCTACAAAATAATTGACACAGCACAGTAAGGACTATACGAGGTCCCAGCTGGAGATTGGCACAGTTAGGAAGCTGTGTCTTCAACACCCTTTCCAAGACTAGATGCCTCTCTAGGTAAATGAGTTCTGCATTTAAGAGGCTAGAGAAACCACGATCGCCCCAAGGTAAGGAAGGCAGAAAGAGGCAAAAGACAATTAAGGACAGAAATCACTGATACAGGAACTCCATCGAAACAGGGTGAGCTGACCGGCCGGCGTGGCTCAGTGGTTGAGCATCACCTAGGATCCAGGAGATCGTGGTTCGACTCCCAGTCAGGGCACATGCCCGGGTTGTGGGCTCGATCCCCAGTCGGGGGGCGTGCAGGAGGCAGCGGATCAATGCCTCTCTCATCATTGATGTTTCTCTCTCTCCCTCTCCCTTCCTCTCTCTGAAATCAATAAATATATATATATATTTTTTAAATCAGGTGAGCAATAAAACCAAACTGTCTTCTGAGGAAAGACTAAAAAACGAAGCAAAGCTCTTCTAAGACTGGGCCGGGGAGAAGGGAAAACGGGAATATCAGGAACCAGGGCCCGCTGTGGGTGCGAATGCTGCTCTCAGGGGCACAGGCAGACGGCTGTCGCGGCTCTAGGGATACAAGACAACCACTGGCAACCCTGAGTTCTGAATGTGGCCGCCAGGCCAGCAGCTTCTGGAAGCCGGTCCACGCATGTCCACTACTTGCACGAGGAGGAAAAAGAAATCAAAGAGAAAAAAAACATGTGAACTACTGACAAATTCAAACCATGTCAAACTGCAGACTAAGGAGACACAGGTATCGGTCATAGAGCCACACAAGCCTGGGGACTCAGGTGGGGCCGATGACAGACAAGGAGGAGGAGACGGCCCTCTGTGTTTTAGAACCCGGCACAAACCCTGAATTTTGAAACGCCTGAGAAATTAGCTTTCCCCAAAGGCATGAAACAAAACATGAAACAGGAACCACCCAAATAGCCTTTTGCACAAAAGCTCAGGGATGTGGCTGTCGGCCTCATCTAAGCTTGGTCTGGCCACGTGGGCAACTGGGTTATGTCAGCGCCTAACTGGGCAGCGGGGGCAGGAAGGGGAGTGGTGGTCTGGGTGAGGCTTTGCCACCCAGGGCCCGGGGCTTACCCCAAGGAGGAGCCTGGGCGACTTCTGGAGGGTGGTGACAGGTTGCTGGGGGCCTGACGTCTGTGTCCACGTCAGGTCCCAGCCCTGCGCCACTGCGCCTCCAGGTCCCACCTTCCGGCAGTACATTGGAGCAGCGGTGCCTCTGCGTGTGGGATCCCTGACCAACAGCAGCTGCAGGTCCACAAACCCGTCAGAAATGCAGCCTCCCTCCTGACGGTGGAGCCCACTTGCTCAAATTTGCCAAACCTCCCAGGGCCTTCTGCATCCCCTCCAGGGACCCAGAGGTGGGGGGTGCAGGACGGTGCCCTAGACAGCTAGGGTGCCAGAGGTCTGTGGCCTGCTGCTCAGCATCCATGACCCTTCCTTGGAAAGCATGTGCCTCCAGTTTCTGCATTAACTAGCTGTGTGACCTTCTATACCCCAGATCCCTCACCTGCAGAGCAGAATAACAGAACCTACCTCTGGAGTTGTGAAGATGAAATGATTAATATGGGTATAGCGCAGCTAAGGGCTTGGTGCATAGTGTGGACGGAAAAAGGGCCACATACTAATAAATCCGACAAGCTGGGGG